TTCTTTCTTTCCTCTCTACCTTCTTTCCTTCCTTCCTACCTACCTTCCTTCCTTTTTACCTTCCTTCCTTCTTTCCTCCCCTCCTTCTTTCTGTCATTCCTTCATTTCTACCTTCCTTCTCTCCTTTCCTTCTTTCTTTCTTTCTTTCTTTCTTTTCTTTCTTTCTTTCTTTCCTTCTTTTTCTTTCTTTCCTCTCTACCTTCTTTCCTTCCTTCCTACCTACCTTCCTTCCTTTTTACCTTCCTTCCTTCTTTCCTCCCTTCCTTCTTTCTGTCATTCCTTCATTTCTACCTTCCTTCTCTCCTTTCCTTCTTTCTTTCTTTCTTTCTTTCTTTCTTTCTTTCTTTCTTTCTTTCCTTCTTTTTCTTTCTTTCCTCTCTACCTTCTTTCCTTCCTTCCTACCTACCTTCCTTCCTTTTTACCTTCCTTCCTTCTTTCCTCCCTCCTTCTTTCTGTCATTCCTTCATTTCTACCTTCCTTCTCTCCTTTCCTTCTTTCTTTCTTTCTTTCTTTCTTTCTCTTTCTTTCTTTCTTTCTTTCTTTCCTTCTTTTCTTTCTTTCCTCCTTCCTTCTTTCTTTTTTTCTTTCCTCTTTTTCTTCTTTCCTTCTCTCTTCTTTCCTTCTCCTTCCTCCTTTCCTTCCTTTCTTCCTTCCTTCTTTCTCCTCCTCTTTCTTCCTTCTTTCACCTTCCTTCTCTCCTTTCCTTCTTCTTTCTTTCTTTCTTTCTTCTTCTTCTTTCTTCTTTTCTTTCTTCTTCTTTCTTCCTTCCTTCTTCCTTCCTTCTTTCCTCCTTTTTTCCTTTCTTTCTTTGAATGCGATTGCCCTGCTTTTTGGCAGAATGGTGGGTTTCTACTCTGTGATTCTATGATCCTTCCTTCCTTGCTTCCTTCCTTCCTTCCTTCCTTGCTTGCACCCCTCTCCCCTGACCCCTTCCCCTGTGGACCCCCAGGAGGACCAGGTGCATCAAAGGGACACAAAGCTTTAGAGAAGTAGGCATGAGGAGGAGGAGGAGGAGGAGATGTCCAGTTTGTCCACTGCGACCTCAGAGGCGCAGCCAGAAACCGCGTCTCCTCCTCCTCCTCCTCCTCCTCCTCCTCCTTCCTCTTGGTCTCCATGGCTACAGCTCTGTTTCCATCCCCAAATTTAGCCCAGGAGGACCAGACCAGCGAGCGCCTTCCTTGTCACTTCCTGGCTGCTGGGCCTTTGCCTTTCTGAGGCAGGGATCCTTCCGTCCTTTGCCGTTTGCTGGGGAGGCCAAGAAGGCCCGCCGTGCCTCTCCACCCTTCCTGGGAGAACCCAGGCCAGCTCCCTTTCCTGGGAAGCAGGAGGAGATCCTTGCCCCAGTGGCCCAGAATGGGAGCATTGAATCGGAAGAGCCCTCCAAGGGTCTTCTATCCCTGGGTTCCTCCAGCTCTGCTCCTCCAGGTGTTTTGGGCTTCATCTGTCTCCCAGAAATCACAGCCAGCTGACCAGCTGTTCGGAAGGAATTGTTTGCATGGAGCAGGTGTTTGCATGGTGTTGCACCACTCTCTCTTCCTGTGGCATTGGCCCTGTGATTGGCGCAGGACCTCAAATGGCAGCTCAATGGGAAGCGGGTGTCGGTGGCAATATGCACTGGCAGACTGGAGCTGGGGGCCGGTTGGGAATGGGGTCCAGTTCCATTATCCGGGCGGAGGGCACAAGGGGACGCTCGAGAGAGAAGGATAGTCCATATTGCAGCGGGGGAGTTGAAAGAGGAAACCATTTCCCCCATTTGTGCTGGTTATTCCCCCTTCCCACTTCCCATGTCACCAAAGAGGGTTGTTTCCACAATGGGGACATGGGTGGTGGTGGTGGTGGTGGTTGGGGAATAACAGGGAAACAGGGGGGAAATGGTTTTACTGTCGTGCACCAGAGCAGGAACACTTCTGACCTTAGACACCACACCAGCTTGGCAAAATCAGCAAGCAGTTTATTGTAGAATATATGTAAACAAAGCAATAAAAAATAGCAAAACAGTAAAAGGCCAAGATCCCAAATAGCTCGTGAGCTACAAAGGAGAACCCGATCCATGAGTCTATAGAAATCCATGAAGCAGGGCACATACAAATATGAAACAAAACAGCAGGAACATCTCATAGACAAAACTTACACTTGGCAAAAAACTTGGTGCATGAAACTTAGAGCACTGGAAACCAAGACCTTGATAAATAACGATGTTACCTCAACTGAGGCAATTTACTCTCATGAATCATCATTATAAGTTTAATCCAGAACCCAAAACTGAAAGGAAAGCATTTTTCTTGACTTTCCCACTAGATCAGTGGTTCTCAAACTGGAGTCCCCAGATGTTTTTGGCCTACAACTCCCAGAAATCCCAGCTAGTTTACCAGCTGTTAGGTCAATAGAATCAGAATCCAGCCTCGTTATCCATTATTCCATGTTCTGCTAATCAATCAATTACACTGCTTAGTCAAATGCCTGTTCAAACAGCCAGGTCTTCACTTTTCTCCGGAATACCAGTAAGGAGGGGGCCAATCTGATATCTGTGGGAAGGGCGTTCCACAGCCGAGGGGCCGCCACTGAGAAGGCCCTGTTTCTCGTCCCTGCCAGGCGTGACGAGTCGTGTTGTAGTCGAAGGGATAACCTCAATTTCTGAAAGCTTTGTCTCTGTTTATTAAAACTTTGCTTTCTGTCCAAGGTTTCACTTTCTGTTCAAGGTTTCACACCTGGCCAATCTATCTCAGCATCATTTTCAGACAGTTGCTCTGAGAAAAGCGGTGAATGGTCACTCCCAGGAATGTGGCCTTGGGAATTTTACTGAAACAGCTCAGGAGTCTCTTCTGAACTTAGCTCAGGCCCAAGCAAACCGTCAAGCCCAGGTCCCTCATCAGGAACACCATTCCCATCATGAACATCAACATGAACATCAGATACCATCATGAACATCAACAGAAACATCAGACACCATCACAGGCTGAACAGGCTGACATACAACAGTTACTCATGTTAGCTGCCCCAAGTCCCTTTCGGGGAGATGGTGGTGGGATATTATTATTATTATTATTATTATTATTATTATTAT